TTTTACTACTGTTTCTATTGGGTTTCATCTCTAGCCTACCCCAACTTGTTTGGGACTAAAAGGCTTTGTTGTTGTTGTTGTTGTGGTGGTGTTTGTTCCCTTTGGACGCTAGAAATGCATTACCATATTGAACTCCTCAATCTGCCTCTTTTCTTTTTTTTTTAAATATTGTTTTTCAATTTACTTTGGATGATTCATGAGTAAATATTGGAAGTTATTTCAAATTTACTTGAGAAGTATGTTGCCTCTATAACCTCTCATTGGTATGTTATCTTATATGCATTGGCTTTAACTATCTCTAGGTGTTGGATGCATCTTGGTACATGCCTGATGAAAAGAGAAATCCACTTCAAGAGTATCAGGTGATGATGCACCTTCATTATTGATTATATCTGCATTTTGTTGCTTCCAAGAACAACAAGCTTCAGAAGTAATTTATGAATATTGATCTGTGCTCTTCGTATTTATATACTTAATCAAGTTGCACTAAATAGATACATTTGATATATGTTTGGTGTTGATCTGAACGCCACATGATGCTCTTTTCATTTATATGGCCTCACCTAAGCATTTAACTTCATCAGATTTTTTTTTTCTTTTATTATTATTATTATTTTTTGGATGATATTTTATTCTATTTTTTGAACAGGTTGCACACATTCCAGGTGCTCTTTTCTTTGATGTCGATGGCATAGCAGATCGTACCACAAACGTAAGAAGTCTCCTTCTCGCAGAGTTGCTAACTATTAGATAAATTTCCTATTAATACAGTTATAAGTATAATATTATTTTTCAATTTCCTTCTGCAAAAAGGTTATTATCCTTTTTACTTGTTTGCTGCATGGAACATCTGCAAGTTAGAGTATTTGCAGCAATACTGATGTTTAGAAGGTGCTTACTTTCTATAAACGGTATCAGTATTGGACAGAGTACATCATTGAGGAATTAAATGTAGTTGACTGGCAGGTAGCTGGTAGACCTACTGAGTTTAAGAGATGGATCATTCATGAGGTGGCGATTGGACATAGAAATTGTTTCATTTTCATTTGGTCCAAAAAATTTTATTTCAGTGAAGTTGGGAATTGATCGAATATATTTGAGTATATATACTATTCGTTCCACTTCAAATTTTCCCCTAAATCTCATCAACATAATTTGGAAATAGAAATCTGTTATTACTGTGCATTTTCCAACAAATTATTACTATTCATCCACTCACATATTTCCAACTACCAATCCTTATTTTGGTATCTTTATATTACATAAACTCTAATCATTATTTTTTATCTTATGTCATTTCACAATCTTAAAAAAAAAAAAAAAAAAATCTCCCTCTCAAACTTCTTTTCCACTTTTCCCGCCACAAAAGTTCGGGGGAGATAAAAAAATTTCTTCAATTTTATATGCAATCGCGACCTTACTGTCCTGAACGTGTGTTCAAAGTTCCATTTAAATGCATACTTAATCTAATCTTTTAAATTTTAATAATATAAAATGTCTGTAATCTTTGTATGCAGCTACCGCATATGCTGCCATCTGAAGAAGCTTTTGCTGCTGCTGTTTCTGCTCTTGGCATCGAAAATAAAGATGGCCTTGTGGTTTATGATGGAAAGGGAATATTCAGTGCAGCTCGTGTTTGGTGGTGGGTTTTTCAAATTATGCAACTTGAAAGCAAACAAGAAGTTTCTTCTACTCGAGACATCTAGAGATAATGATCCAGTATCTATCTGATTTAATACAATAAACAGGATGTTTCGAGTTTTCGGGCATGACAGAATTTGGGTTTTGGATGGCGGGCTCCCGAGATGGCGTGCTTCAGGGTATGATGTTGAATCGAGTGCTTCGAGTGATGCTATCTTGAAAGCTAGTGCAGCCAGTGAGGCGATTGAGAAAGTATACCAAGGGCAGCGGGTAAGCCATGTGTTTTTGTCATTTTAAATTTCAAGTTTTCTCTGATGTCTCAGTTTGAGGCTAGTTCTCAGCCGCTATCGCTTTTGAGGTGATATACTTGTTGGAATTTGTCAAGAATCTTATTTTTAAAATTCATAATATTTCAATTTACCATTATGCTTGACTTGCTTCAAGGATATAATAAGTACTTGATATCCGCAGGTTGGACCAATTACTTTCCAGACCCACTTTCAGAAACATCTCGTGTGGTCACTTGAACAGGTTTTTTTATTTTTGCTTACTAATGATTTTCTCTTTTTTGAGTTGTTTTTTTTTTTTTTTT